TTTTTTTTTACATGTGAATTACAATTTCCAGTTTGTAGTTCCTACAAAAGACAAGTGACTTTGCCCAGAATATAATAACTCTCAGTTGTGCACCAAGCATATAGTAAGATTTATCAAAATAAATACAAATCAATGAGGTTTAGAATTACCACATTAACTTGATTATTAACCCCTAAGATTTTTTCAAGAGCTTGCTTTTAAAATAAATGGGTCTACCTTTGATTTACAAAGCAAGTTGGGATTTTTTTTTTTAATTTTTTTTAACATTTATTTTTATTTTTGAGACAGAGAGAGACAGAGCATGAATGGGGGAGGGTCAGAGAGAGAGGGAAACACAGAATCTGAAATAGGCTCCAGGCTCTGAGCTGTCAGCACAGAGCCCAACGCGGGGCTCGAAGCCACGGACCGCGAGATCATGACCTGAGCTGAAGTCGGAGGCCTAACTGACTGAGCCACCCAGGCGCCCCGCAAGTTGGGATTTAAAAAATCATAATGTCGATGATTTGATGGAAAACATTTATCTTTTCCTCTTTAAACAATGTATTTTGCATTTCAAGATTCTTCTGATTAAAGATGAAGACAGCTACTTATTTCCTTATTTTGGGACGTGAAGAGCTCTTTTCCAAGAAATTGCAGAAGCATTAGCCTGCAGATTAGAGCGACATAGCGTACAACAAGAAATCAGCATTCTCCCTCTAAAACACAAACAATATATAAATACATAAGTGTGCTCTTGCCAATCTCCCCACTCTGTTTTCCTCTTGATTCTTAGAATTATTAAAGACCATATGGGTGGTTTTCTTAAATATCAGCATTTTTCTTCCATTTTATATGATGGTAATTGGGTGCAGAGGCAATGCCAAATTAAGACAGAAAGACAGCCTAAAAGTAGACAATATGAACACATAACCTCTCGGTCTTAGGCATTCATTCATTCATTGCCTTCAGGCATTAATTTATCAAATATTTATCATGTATCTTCTGTCTGTGCCTGGTATTATGCTACATGGTGGGATTCAAGAATGATGAGATAAGGGCACCTGGGTGGCTCAGTTGGTTAAGCATCTGACTTCAGTTCA